GGGGGGGGGGGTTGGGCGTGGTCTGAATATCTGCTGAACCCAATAGCTGGCCTCATGGAAGCGGAACAATTGGTGGAACAGATAAAATCTGTTCTTAATTTAATGAGGAGAGAGACCCAGGCTTAAGCTGGCAGAGCTGGACAGCCCTCTGGGGGGGATAATGGTCACTCTTGGGGAAGGGTGGCCTTGACACCATGAGGGTGATAGGTATGGGTGGGAACCTGCCCTTTCTACTCTGATCCAGGGAGGCAAGGATCTCCCAGAGTTTCAAATCCCCTCAGAGCTAAGGGTCAGTCATGGCTGGGAAAGCTGGGCTCTATGTATCTGGGGACCTGCATCTCTGAGGGCCTGAAAACTTGGGTACCTGGGGCTCTGAGGACCTGAGCAGGGGACAGCTGGGGGCTGGTACTTGGGTAGATTAGAGGTTCCTGTGAAATTGCCATCTGACTCTATCAGCAGCCAAGTGATTCATCTAAAAGGAAGTCCTCTGGGCATCCCTACTGCCTTTCCTCAGACTCTCTGCCCTTCCTAAGACGGCTTACCCCCAGAGGCCTGGACTTCCCTGCCCAGGATCTTTCTATGATAGGTGTCAGAGCCCACCCTGTCAAAGGTCAAGGACTCTCCCTGACTACCGTATAAATGGGAAACTGCCCAAAGTCATATAGGGACTTAATGACAGCTGGAACTAAAAACCAGGTCCCCTAACTCCCAGGGGGTGGGGCAAGGCCAAGAAGATAACCCGAGCTTAATTCGGGAGGGAGAGTGGGATGAGAGAGAAAAAGAGCTCTTTGTCCTCTGCCTCAGTGCAGAGGTGAGCTAGATAATGGCAAAGGCACTGGGCTGCAAGGGGATGCAGACTTGAGAGCAGGTGCAGTGGTCAGGCCAGGAAGAAATCTGAGCTGTGTATGGTGTCAGCCTCGGGATGGGGCCAGTGGGGGGCCCACTGGCCCTGCACTCTCTCCCCAGCTTACAGCCTAGGCCAGACCTGGGCTGGACCCTCAGCAGGCAAGGCTGGGGCAGGTGCCAGTGAACAGTGAGCACAGGTGGCTGGGAGGGCGGGGGCCCAGGAGCAGAGGAAAGGCAGGAAATGGCAGCTGCCCAGCCTGCTGCCCCAGCATAGCCCACAGCCCACTGTCCAGACCCCCCTGTCCAGGAGGATGGGACTGGGGCTGGTCTGCCAAGAACTTCTTTGAGCCTGCGAGCAACACACACACATGTCCCAACACCTTTTTTCTGAAGGCCCAACTTACCAGTGGAAGCATGAGAGTGCTTTGCAGGCAGGGGTCACAAACTCAGGATCTGTTCTTCTTTTTTTTTTTTTTTTTTCCTTTTTGTCTTTTTTTTACTGACCGGTAACGGGATTGCAACCC